GTTTTTGGATATTATAGAAGAAAATAAAAAATAAAAAAATCTTTTAAGAAAAACAAATAAAAGCATGATGGGCCTTAAAAACGTTATTTTTAAACATCTGGGGGGGGTCGATACCCCACAATCCCCTCTAGACCCCCAGTGAGAATTTTACATTATTCTGAAGCTCCGCTCTTAATGTGCGACTACTTAAATAGTTTATGATATTTTTAGTACTGCATGTACGGACTACTACTTAAAGCCGCGTGTAAATCCTAGTCAAGTTTCTTATATGTCACATTTAGCTAAATAAATGGCTCTTTCAACATATTATCAGGCAAATATTTTACTGAAATGTCTTACTAAGATTTCCCAGAATTTATACCTTTGTCTATGCTTAGACTATCATATTTTTATAAAATGTGTAAATTAAAAAAAGGAAAATGATGTAATTAGCTATGGAAGCCCTGGAGTGACATTTGAAATTAATATTTAAAACTTAAAACTTATTATTTAATTCTTAATATTTAAAAATTAATTCTTAAAGGTACTCCACTGAGGTTTTAAAGCCTAAAAACATAACATTTGAATTTCTTACATAAATGAGCTGGGACACATTAAACAGAAATATATGCAAAGATATTAAAAAAATATATACTTTGAAATACATTGAAAATCGTATTTTTATGCCTTTCCTAGCCCGATTTGAGTGAAAAGCGTTTAAACGCTTTTTATTTTGGGTCATTTTTTTACAATTTGAATAATTATCCTAGAAAAACGAAGTGCGCGAATTATCTGAAATTTTTGCACAAAGATTAGTGGTCTAAGCCTACATCAAATGGTACATGTATCTTGAAAAAATAGTTTCAGTCCCATCGTGTCAAAAAACCTCAGTGGAGTCCCTTTCATATATAAAAATTAATTCTTAATACTTAAAAATTAAGAACAGAATACATAAGAAGCGAATATTTGAATTAAACGGTCTCTTGCAAAAGGTTGTTACACGAAGAAAAACTGGCAAATTCGATGTAGCTGCTTACAGGTAATTACCATTTTTATATAATACATTAAACATTCCGTTAACTATTATATCTCGATTGATATATTTTTCATGCAAACGGTTGAAACGATTAAGATATGTTAGTTTTAACAAAGACGCCAGATATGGTGCCGCTTTACATTTTATTGATTGCATGGTGTCACAAACAGCGGTTGAGAAAGATTATCATTACATTTTGTTCTGGTTGGCAAACTGACAGAAATATTTCTGTTAGTCAGGGGGCTCAGTTTGTCTAACGATAATGTTTAGTTTTTGGTGGTGGATGATACTATTACATGTTTACAGTCCCAGCTCTTTGTTTTATAACACTATACTTCATTTCTTTCTATTTCTTTTAAGGTCGTATCTTCAAGGATATCCCGTTGATGTTTGCCTTTATCATTTTATTGAAAGTGACTCCTGTGCCAACAGTAAATTGTGTCATTCCTATTGCCATCTGGAAACGGAAGAACCTGGTTAGAAGTGATTACGCAGTACTTTCATGCTGACTTCAATAACGCAGAAATTGTTTACTTCTGCTTTGTCAACACAACATACGTCTTTGTCTTCGTCAGTTAAAGAGGATACTTCGTTGTAATTATTAAGGGCGTCACCGTGTCATGTATACTCCACAAGAAATAGTAAAAGTACAGTAGAAAAAGAATTGCAGTTAAGCGGAGACGGCTTATGGTACAAAGGTTGATGAATACGTTGAAGGATTTTAAAGCTCGTGGACGAATTGATATGTCAAACTCTATTCATGCAGAATACTTGCGATTTTATGTAACAAATGTTCTTTAAGCGGGATTTTATCGCAATGTATTCACTGGAATTTACACAATGTGTGACCACAGAAACATGTAGACACTTGTACAAGAAGACAAGACATAGAATGTTTTTTTTGCTGTACTAGAACTATCAGGTTCTACTGATTACGGTGTTAATGTTGATTTGTAGGATACTGAAAAAGAAACACATGCAGGTGATTGAACATTACACAATAATATATATATATATATATATATATATGGTGTATAAAAATGAGCCAACATTGTTAAAAATGTGTGCAAAATTTTATAAAAGAGAAAATGAAAAGTTACGTGACTCACTATGAAAATATATTTTGAAAGTTAAAAAAACATACTCAAGATATGTGCACAGTTGCTGATTTAAACTCGAAAAAAAACATGTTCATAACCTGAGATCTTCATAATCTGAACTCTCTAACCACTACGCTACTCAAATTTATCAGTCTATTTCCATTTTATTTTTCTATATTGCAATAAAAATGCGACACGTAATAATTTATGAACTTGAATAACCTGTTATGACAGATTAATGTAAACGTTATCGTGTTCGGGCACTTGGGATGTTTACCTTCCAGATCACGTGACTCTCTTTGTCGATACAGTGTACAAAGATATTATCATGTCATGTGATATCCTACGATAAATATATTATATCTTACCTGTAAAACCACCTGTAAAAACTGAATCATACTTAAAATCGGAAGACATTGTAAAACAAAACCTAAAAAATCATTTTTGTCTACTTAAGGCTCATTTATTTCCCTTTTTTGTAGTTTGTTGCCACGTATGATATGAAATACTTAAAGAAACTTAATTATCTCCCATTATAGACCAATTCATGTTTATGCTCGGCATGCTCAATATCCCTTCATTATTGTCTAGTTTTTCAGACTGAGTATATCTTAAAGTTTCCATCGGCAATTATTCATGGCCTAACTACTTTCTGCTGTTTTTTGCTACATTTTGTTTTTCATTTTCCAAATTATTACAAAACACGTTACGGACCAGATATGCTGAACTGTTGTGAGTTAATTAAATAATGATTTAGGCATTTAATATTTAAGCAGCTAAATAAACCTACCCGCAAAATATAAATCCCTTACGGATCTCATGAAATTAGAAATGTTCCTGTCATTTTGTTCAGATTGTCTTTTCTAATTTAATATAGAACACTAATATTAACATAACTGTTTTTGTAACGTTAACATAACATAACATATAGTTTAACATAACATATAGTTTATTAGCATAATATGTGTTTACATACATACATAGCCATTTACAATGCAAGAAGTACAGACATGAAATTTTTAACAGAAGAACATGATCAAACAATTCAAAAAGGATAAGTATATTGATAACATGTACATTCAGTCAATTTTCAAAAAACAATACAAATTTTCAACTGTGACTAGATCAGTAAATAAAAAATAACTATAAAAATTGCGTTTCTTTGATCATTATATAGTATGATAGTATAAAATACTAAAGAAATCGCCAGTGTATTTAAACATTGTTATTGGTATTTCGTAGTTGAAAGGCAGAATATATGAATTTAGCAACGTTGGTAATACTTTTTGAGGATTCGCATGATAGAAGGGTTATGAACTTTTGGATTGATGGCCATCTACAATAATATGGTTTAAAATATTTGGTTCTTAGTTCACTATATTTCGGGCATACTAATAAAAAATGATACTCATTTTCAATCATGCGCATATTACATTCTTGGCAAATTCGAAGTCGTCGATCGACATTTGTGTATCTTCCAGTTTCGATAGCTAGTTGATGAGAAGACAATCTAAATTTAGATAATGCTATTTGATATTTTCTTTCATTTATACATTCTAGATATTTTTCAAAATTAAAAGTATGTTTAAATAGACAGTATGAAGATAATCTGTTAGAGTTGTTGATATTAGTGTACCAAGATTGTTTATAAATATCAAGGATTCTCTGTTTGATGAAATAATAAGGGATGACTATATTAGTTTGATTAATCCATATATCAGCTAATCCTACTTCCTCTAGAATATGTTTTATCTGATAAGCCCAATTCATGTTGTTATATGTAATATTTTGATTTGCATCATTTGACAACATAAAATAAACCTTTCTTATTAATACATTGGTAGATGTCAATATTTTAATCCAGTATTTAATCATCAATAGTTTTCTATATATTTTCATAGGTACTCTTCCAACCTCACCATATAGCCCTTCTAGATTTGTAGATTTTTTTACACCAAGCACCTTACGTAAAAATTTACAATGTATCAACTCAATAGCTTTTGATTCGTGATTTCCCCATATTGGTGCATTATAATTTAGGACTGATCCAACTAGGCTATCGAACAGATTACATTTATCTTTATTGGTTAATTCTATTTGGTTGAAAATAATGAACAAGTTGTGTAAAGCATATGATGCGTACTGTGCTATCCTGCTTTGCGTTCTGTACCAAGAGCCATTTTTAAATAGGTGTGTTCCTAAGTATTTGAAGGATTTAACAACCTCTAATTGCTGTTCACATAAAATAAAATTATGTTGTGTATGACGGCCCCTTTCGAAAATCATTATTTTTGTTTTGTCGGTGTTTATTTTTAGGCCCCAAGTATCACAATAAGCTTCTAGTTTGTTTAGTAAATCTTGAAGTGCATTTTGAGTGTTTGCAAAAAGTACCGAATCATCGGCAAATAGTAAAATGAACAGTTTTAGCTCGTCTAGAGTAAATATTCCTTCAATGTCTGTGTTTAAATTTTCGACGATATCATTTATAAAGTATAAAAACATTAGACTAGAACTTGGGTCTCCTTGTTTGACCCCAATATGAGATTCGAAGAAGTCTGAGTATTGGTTTTTATATCGAATACATTGTTTAACTACACTATACATAGATTGCATAGCTTTAACAATTTTTGAACTGACATTTTCAGAAATAAGTTTATGCCATAGAAACGTTCTATCTATTTTGTCGAAACATTTTTCATAATCTACAAAAGCTGTGTAAAGTTTTTTGCCACAACTGAATGATTTTGCGATGACTGAGTGTAATAAAAAGATACAATCCGTAGTTGTTCTACCCTTTTGGAAGCCAAATTGATGATCATTTAATTTTTCATTTAATTGCGACCATTTTGTGACTCTATTTAATAATACTTGCGAATATATTTTACCTAGTATATTTATAAGACATATACCCCTATATTTGTTTGGATCATCTATGTTCCCTCCTTTAAAAATTGGTACAATAATTCCCTTGCCCCATATTTCTGGGTACTCCCCTTTATTAAACAGTCTGTTAAAAAGTGAGTGTAATACTAATGCAATCTTATTATATGAACATTTATAAATTTCAGCGCAAATTTCATCTATTCCACTACTTTTATTATTATTTTGTGATAAAACAGCAAACTTTATTTCATCATAGCTTATTTCTCCATCCAAATAATCGTCATATATTTGATCAATTTCAACATTTACCTGGTGTATTTCCGGTACTTCACCGTATAAATTTTGGAAATGATCAAACAAATCATCTATATTTAGATTTTCGGACTCAGTAGGTTTTTTCTTGTATTGCCGTTTAATATTTTTCCAGAATTGCCTAGGTTTTTCTTTGGCCATTCTTTGTAACTCTATTTTTTCTTGCTTTTTATATGCATTTTTTGCTTTATTTTTAATCTTGTTATAGTTACTTTTAGCACTTAAGAATATGTGTTTATTTTCTAGAGTTTTGTTTCGGAGAAACTTATTTCTTTCAATTTTATATTGTTTACGTGCATTAAAACATTCGTGATTAAACCATTTTTGTTTATTACAATTTGGTTTTGTTTTATTGTGTAACGTTTTCGTTTTGCCAAACACATCAAAAGAGTGCTTACGTATTATATCAACAAACTCTTTGACAACATTATCTATATTAGTTTCTTCATTTTCAATTGACGATATGACATTTTGTAGATGTTGTTCATCTAGCCTATTTAAGAAATCATCCACATTTGTAGGATCCCATTTTATATATTGCTTATTTGAAGTATCATCATACGAGGATGTATTTGAAATTTGTTTAGACATTAAAGTACATTGTAAACCAGAGTGGTCAGAAAATTCGTTCGGTTCAGCTATTTCAAAATATGATATAAGCTTAAAGTCTTGTTTATCGAGCAAAAGGTAATCAACAGTGCTAGAGCCATTTAATGAATGGAACGTATACTCTCCATGCTTATCGAAGTGCAACCGGCCATTACCTATGACCAAAGATGTATTTTTACATAAATCAATAAGACGTCGCCCTTGGGCGTCAATGACGTGGTCACAATTATTACGAGTTGGAATGTCAAAAACATTATCAAAAGTATCAAAATTTTCAAAATTTAGATATCTATCAAAATCTAACAAATCGCTACATGTCGAAGTTCTAGAATTTAGGTCACCTAAAACTAATATTTTACCTCTATGTTTAAATCGTTCTATATCAGATTCAATTTCTTCATAAAAATCAAAATTATCTTGGTCAATAACATTTGAACTTGAAGGTACAATATATGTGTTACAAATCAGTACGTCTTCATCAAAATCAAACAAAGTTTTACATAATTTTATCCACATAATACCATTTTGATGTTGGTGAAACACAGATATTTTATCTTTGAATATGTTTTTAAAGTACAATGAAAGTCCACCACTGTATCTCCCTTTGGTAATGTTACGTGTTTTATTTCCATGCAAGTGGACACCTATATACCCTTGTATATCAAGATTAAAATGCACATTTTTATTAAGCCATGTTTCTTGTAGCAAAATGATGTCATATTGATTAAGGATTTCTAAGAAGTCTGGATCACTTATTTTTCTAACGAGACCGTTGACATTCCATGATAAAATTTGAATATGTTCTTGACTGTCTTAGTTTTTCACAGGCATCATAAAGGCTGGCGGGTCGATAACCTTGTTGTTCATGTAGACTTTGGTCAGTTTTCCGTTTACGTAAAGCTTACGTCCCTGTTGACGTACCGTTTTGCCGGCCTGTTCGTATCCATCGATAAGGTCACCAAACATCTTTCTGGCATCACGAGTAACTTGGGGGCGCTGTACCCCCACTCCTTGTCGGGCAGTCTTAAGTTTCTCCTTGACGTCCTTGTCGAACGATTTTTTGCGGATTGTTTCACGTTCGTCGGGATTTCCGAATTTGGCCACGATGGGTCGCGGTTTCTTGGCTCGATCGCCGCCCAGGCGGTGTACCTTTGGTAAATTAATGGATGTACTGTCAATACTAAGTTTGTCAGAGATCAGTTCCTTGACAAGAGCGCGGCAATCCTCTACTGGAGCACCGTTGTTTACAAGTGGAGATGGCGTTTCCGCGATTCCATAGAATATAAGATTGTCATTCATTGACCGTGTTTGAAGATCTAACTGCAAATTTTCAAGTTCGAAATTCTGTTTTTCAATATCAGCATTCCATTTCTTAATTTTGGTCTGTTCATCTTTTAAAAGATTAATGTCGCGCATGTGTTGTTCGACATCCTGATGCAAAAATTTGCACGATGTTTCAATATCATTTACTTGTTTAGTGAGTCCAGAGAGTTTGATTTCTACATCTGACACTTTGATTGTAAGCTGATTGAGGGTAGATTCAACTTTTTGCGAAGATATTTTTAACGCTTTGACCTCTTCTATCAGATCGATGGCCCATGCCGGGGGTTGTGTAGCAGTCGGTGAACCATACATTAATTGTTGTGCAAGTCCTTGCTGTGCCAAGTTCAACAACTGGTTAGGGCTTGTAGAGGACATATTTAAATTACTATATAGAGGTGTTGAGGGTATTGTGTTTTCAAGTTCACTCAAAGTAAATAAACTATCATCTAGATTACACTGTCTTTTGTCCGCACTCGATGTATTGTGTATACACCGCGCTTTCAAATCGCTTGACTGACCATGACATAAACCACATGTATCTCTCAATAATGGTGATTTTGGTTTTCGTTTTTTTCTCTTCTTTTTAGATGAAGCACTATTATTTGCATCATTAGGCATTAGAATAAATGTTTACATACGTTTTAATCCAAAAATTCCAAGCATAAGCCCAATGGAACCACATTTTAATCCAGATTTATCGACTGCTAAAAATCCATGACCGTACACTATACCACGTGATTATATTTAACAGGTAAAGCATTTCAATTCGAGCAATTAAAGGACATTTATATGTTTAATTTCAAACACAAAACATTTGATGTAAACAAGATATCAAAACGAGTTTTATATGGATTTTCTATCATAGCGTATAAAATTGCTAAGTTTCCACTGACAAATATGTGTAAGCATAACTTATTTAACTTTTTCAAATATGTTCAAAATATCGATTTTACCTCCCCAAATATTTTTCAAGTATTTTTTTTAATGTTGATCCCTTCGTATATAATCATTCTTGGGTGTAATTGGCCTTTTAAAATAATAAATGCGTTTGTCATAAGATATTTATAATGAGAAAAAGAACAGCCAATGTTTTCACGGCGTCCAAAGATAATTTAGAATGCCGAGGTGAGTGCAGTAAGATTGCAAATATCGCCGCAGCATCGTAGTTGCATCGCATAGAACGCCGACTCACGGCGCGCATTTTGAGCATACTCAAAACAAACACCGTCACTCGGCGTTCTGATAAGAGCGTAAGGACGCCGTAGCAACTCAATAGCATCTCCTACAACGCAACAGGGGCGCCGTGAAAGCGCAAAAGGAACGCCAAATGAACGCGGTGGTTATCCATGGCGCCGGTAAGGAGATCATGCGGCGTCTCTACCGCGCTTATACTGCGTGTGTACCGCGCTTGTACGAAGCTTTACAATTCCAGAGCGCCGTTAACGCGCAGTGGAAGCGCAAAGAAAACAGTAGAAGCTCAGTTCGAACACAGACAATCGCCAATTAATACGACGTGGAAGCTCTGTAGCATCACCATGATTGCTGTGAGGACGCCGTGAAAACACCGTATAATAAATAGCACATTTTTTGCGATCCCGAGGGCGCTTTGTTTAATCCAACAAAGCCATGCAAACGCAGTGAAATCGCAGTCTAGTGTGACAGTGCCTTTAAGTAGCTATAATCAGCTCGCCTCTATTATATACTAAAGGTGATGACGTCACGAAAAAAGTAAAAATTAACTTTAATAATTTTACATGTATAAGGTCAATTAACACAAAAACGTGATGGACGCTGTGGTGTAGTAATTAGCAAACTGGACCGCCGGCTACCCAGAGACTCTTAGTTCAAGTCCATGTTGCGGCGTGCCGATTTTTAGAGTGATTTTTATGTGTAAAGGCGCATGCAAGAATAAACTTTGCAAGCAATACAGAAATAGTTGTCGGTTTGATTGTAAATTGTATGCCTTCTTAGAATATGATATGGAATGGAAACATTCTAAAAATTAGTTTGGGCTGGGAAGTCAAGGACCTCGTTGCCTATTACTCTGCCCTTCAATTTGATCCTCTTTATATTCAAGATCAGTCAGTACATAAGTCTTTAACAAGCAAAACGATATATTTACAACTTTTTTGTATTTTCTATATTATCCTGATGCACAATACAAAAACGATTATTATTGTCAAAATAATAACCAAATTCGTAACTACTTGGGCACTATTTAAGCAAACTAAATGTAAAAACTGTTGAGAAATAAAAATAAGTAAAAATATGTTAGCATATAATGTGCCTATCAACATATAAAACAATTTGTACGGACACCTTCATTAATATATGGAAAATAGGCAGAGCTTTACGTAAAGAAAAGAAAGTAAACAAAAAACATTATTGTCATTACCAATTCTTGAAACATTACATAATCACTTAAATGGGTCTTATTATATGAAATGTAGAAAAGGAAAAAACATGGTTATCTTAATTTTGTAATATCTGCCTTTGAAATAGGAAACATTTTAAAATTTTAGGGCAGTAATCCCGAAAACGAGTTCGCCCCGCTCAAGCTGTTTCTACCATTATATTAATAGCTCAAGTAATGTTTAAATAAATTCCACCAGGTAGTTTTTAATCACCTGTAAGTCTTATGTTACCCTAGAAAACGCCTTCACATATTCTGAAAATTCCCCACTGTTGCCAGCGATATATTGTCTAATATAGAAACAATAAGCTCTGTTCATTTTCAGGCTTATCGTCAAGTACAGTTCAATTGTTCTGTCAATAAAGAGTTTGATAGGGGCACATGCAAGGATCTGTCGCCAGTTACTGTGTTGTAACAATATAATCAATTACAAATAGGTTTTCGAGTAACAGCATGAATAATATCCACATAAAATGATATCACTACACGTGAAACAGATTATATGCTATATGAATGTTTAGACCATTTGTAGACATCGATTATCTGATAACAGTATAATTATCCAATTTTAATGATTAAGCAAAGAAATGAGTCAAACCTTTCGATAAGTTCTGTATAGTTAAAGTAATGAATAGTATATTTTAAAGTATATTTTAATAATGTTTGTTACTTTAACAGCCCTTTTATATAAATCATTGTCGCATTTGCATCTGTATACCCAGAAATAGTTATCTCATTGAACGGTTTAACAATATGATCCAGAAGAAGTAATAATAAATGAATGTAAGTCTCGTTTAATTAATTAATTAAAAAGTATATTATTGTTTCTCCCATTTATTCGCCACTCTATGATACATGTAGTAAAACTGAATTCAAATTATTCTTTTCGTTTAAAATATTACCATACACGTAGCTTTGGTATGTTTAAGATGACAATTTGTATCTTAACATTCCTCAAAGTGCCCCATAATATTTATGATGGCACGATACAGTAAGATTTAAAAGTATATTTTTTTATTTTCTTTCCAAAGCAGAACAACTAAAAACACTGCTAACCAAAACAATATATTCCAAAACATATTTATTTCCTTACTTTACACGGAAGCAGAATCTGTGAATGGGAACCACATCTTTGTTTATGTATGGTAATATGCAGTAAATGGAGTTTACATTGAATAAAACTAATAAATAAGTTTGAATAAAAATAACTTGAAGAATGTTTATCACAAGTAGTATTTTTTTAATCCAGTTTTAACAAATATGTCAATTTCTAAGTCTTACCGTACAATGTCCGTCGGCAACCATCCATTGATATACTTATTAACTCCTACGTTTCTTCTTGAATATCATATTTGTTTAAAAAAGATTACAGTCAAAATAAACAAGTTTCCGTGGTGTCAAAATCAAATGGCGGAAGTTTCTTTTTACGTTATATATAAATACACATTCCTACCTCAAAATGAAAACATCTTTTTAACTCTAACTAAACACCTCAAACATGTCAAAGTAAAGATGATATCGTTCTCATAATAAGTTATATCGCGCTTAATAAGAAAAATCATATACAACATCCTTTTAAATTTATTGTCGAGCTAAAATTTTATCTGAACATTTAATCGGGTGAAGGTAACGAACATCCGATCAAGGTATGATCCATCTAATGCATTACCTCCACTTTGAAGAGTATTCAAATAAGCTAGAACTACTGTCAACTGCAATGTAATTGAGGGGCACGGGTTCAAGCCCCAGAAGAGGCAACTTTTTTTCTTTCTTTCTTTTC